GTGTAAGAGCTAGTTAATATTCGACCTTTGACCTAGTTGTAATTTATCTGATGAATCATGTATGGCAGGGGTCGGCAACCTTTTGAGACGGAAGAGCCAAAAGTCGCAATTTACAAAATGTCCCAGTTTTTAAAGAGCCGCCAACATTTTTATTTCAATAATATGATATTTAATTAGGATTATATATATATATATATATATATATATATATATATATATATATATATATATATATATATATATATATATATATATATATATATATATATATATATATATATATATATATATGTATGTATGTATATATAGACGTCACATAATAGTGCCTCAACTCGAGGGATTTATGTTAGAGCTGTCCAGTTGTGCAGCGAAACGTGCACGTTTTTCTGGACCTCCAAATCTTCTTTCTCCTGAGTTCCGTGAAATGTTTGGTTTTCAAATCCAGCCATTTTATTTGAAGCGAACCAGCATCAATTCCAATTGGCTCAATGTTGGTCTCATTTGTTTTTGTGTTGAGAGGATCCACTATGAACATCAAAGTGTACTTGCATTTGTTTCGAATTGCTCAAATCACTCAGGAATCCATCCTTCATTTTGTTTATTACAATGCTGAAGTAATACATGTTAAAAGTAGCATAATGATATTTTTTTTTCAAATTTATCAAAATTAAGTAATGTATCGCTCTCTGTGACTTCAACAAAAAAAAGTTTTTTTTTCTCGAAACAATCAACCTTTTCAAGCAAGGCATAGGTTAGGTTTTCCTTTCCTTGCAGTTTTACATTTAGCTCGTTTAGTTTCTTTTTGATATCCACCATGAAGTTGAATATTTCGGTTCGGGATGGACAATTTTATAGAAAGTACATTAAAATAGGAAGTAACTAAATATTCTAATAGAATAGCGAGTGTTTATTGTTTGTATTAATTATTATATCGTTCGTCACCGAATGTTGCAGAACAATATTTTTAAGAGTTTCGAAAATAAAATAATTATTAATATCTGTGCATGGAGCAGAAGAGCCGCATCCTGACATCAAAAGAGCCGCATGCGGCTCGCGAGCCGCAGGTTGCCGACCCCTGATGTATGGTAATTCAAATGTGTATGTGTGTATTATATGAATACTTTAATTGTTAGACATGTATTACGAATTATAAAGAAATTTACAACAAATTGGTTGGCAATGGTGTTTTTTTTTTTAGAATAATGTATATGAAAACATCTACGAATGAAGTCTCTTATATTACCTTTAGCGCGTTATAGTTATAGTAAATGACTGCAAAAAGAAGTATTTTAAATGTATTACATTTTGGTAAATTTTAATACTTCTTTTAAAGAAATAGTATTATTTACATGTGTAAATAATACATTCGTCTATCATCTTATTTCGGCAATACTGAATTCAGTGACACACTAATTTTTATTTTGTTACTTCCCTTCGTTTTGACACTAGGAAAGCGCATCTAATTTTGTCTGCTTGCAAATACATAAAAACAGCCCAACCGAAGTAAAAAATCAGATGAAACAAAAAGAATTATTCATATATGCTTATGTCAGTATTCTTATTTTAGGTGACCTAAACATACCAGCGGGTGTTGGGCGGAGGTGGTGACTCCTATACGACGTATTAAAAGTGCTACGGATACCTTTTATATTTGTCGAATAAAGACGAGAAAAAAAGTTACCTTTCGTAAACAGTTGTTAGGTTTTGTTTAGTGTGTGTGGGTGAGTGGATGAGAATTAGACCTCTGGCGTAACTTTAGTCAAGATTTGGTTAGGATTATGAATAGAGATCGGTATCCTTTACTACAAACCGTTTGGTAGGCTAACTTTTATCGGTTTAAGTACAAATTAACCGATCATGTCGGTTAGGGCTGCGACACTCGGGCGTATGGCTGAGTATATCTTCACGCGAACTTTGACCCCCGTTTGACAGATAAAGCGTCCGTTGATGTTCTAATAAGACAATATGACTTACAGCAGGTGACTCGTGGGCCTAGCTATGTCAGAGATTTAGTCACCATCTTCTTATCGTCGCATTGGGCTTTAGTCACCATCTTCTTATCGCCCCTGTCACGTCCGTACCGAGTTGCCGGTCGTGGGTGATGTTGATAAACCGGTAGGTGTTAAAGATTGGTTGATGTGCTGATTATTTCAACATGACTCTATCGGTATGTTCGAAATTGGTATATTTATGTATAACATATTTATATTTCTGAGAGGTAAAAACTATAATCACTAAATTAAGCTCTTATTCCACTAGCGGGTACCAGGGGATCATGGATACACAATAGTCATATTGTGGCCGGGTTTCAAGAGATTTTACATAACGTAACGAAAACTAGTGGCCAGACTTGTGAATAGAAACGTTACTTAATTAATATAAGCCAATCACTAAAAAGCACCGGTCATAAAGTACTTCTTAAAATAGCCTATCTCGAATATATGTATTTAAAGCCATATATTTGTAATGTTTTTCAATTTTTCGTGAATCATCTGTTAACAGGTGTATGTGCTTTATACTTATACTATTATTTTTACATTTTAAATGCTTTTCTTTCACATGGAGTAAAAGTGGTCATTTGGCCATATTTACTCTCCCCCCCCCCTCCCCTCCATTAAATGAATAGTTGAGGTGAATTCAGTTATCACGTGAGTTATTTGTACTTTGGAAGAAAATGTATTGAACTCTGTTTAGATTCAAAATTTAAGTTGGGTATGCTCTTGAGTCAGGCTTGATTTAGTTTCAAGTAATTCCTCTTTAAATGTCAATAAATGACATGCGCAATCTATCTATATATATAATTCTCTTCTTCGAGCCGTTAGAAAACAAGCTGCAAACGCTCTCCCTACCTCCCCACCCCTACATGGTTTTAGTGAGCTGTGTTCACTCTAAATGTTTACAAGCAGAGCCAACGATTTTAAACGTGGGGGGGGGAGGGGGAGGGAAGGAAGGGGGGGGTTATGGTCCTTAACGAGCTACTTATAGTGTTTTAAAGAAATATTTTCAGTGTCAGCGTTGGTACTGTCGAATTCACAAATTATGAATTATTGAAAATTAGAAACAACTAAATAGCGGCGTATGTTATGCCGCGGGCCGGCTCGTACAGTTTATAAATCAAGTGTGTCGATTGGGCTAGGCCCCTAAGGACATGTGGATATAAGAATCATAAAGTCAAGTCTAAGATTTTAAACTTCATTAATGTTTAAGATGATTTACACAATTTTAATTCTTGGAAACAAATCGGTAGCCTAGAATTTTTTTTGGAACAAAAAAACCCAGTTTGTTTTTAAATGGATACGATTCTATGACTGATAAACTGAAAAGTTAAACGGTGGGTTAGTTTAATTTGAACGAGTAATAGATCTAGATCTACTGATGGTGCGACGTGTGACGCGACCGTTCAGCGCAAAAAAAAAAAAAAATGTGTCGTCTGCTAGAGTTCTTCCCATCCAAATACACGGCGGGCTTAGTGTTGCTGTTGTCTCGATCAAGTTATTATTTTCATTAAATTTATTTTCAGGGTCACAGATATATTTTAATTAATTGATTAACATTAGTTTACCACGACAGAGCATTTAATTTTCTATCAGTTACCAAAGTTTGAAAATATCAAATAAATGCTTTTTTATGCAACGGATTTAAATTTAATTATTAATATCTTTAATATATAGATTAGGCCTATAATATGGCTACTTTGTAAAATAAACCGGGAGTGATCTCCCCTAAACTTTCTCGAATAACAGGGGATGGGAACTCGGGCTATAGACATGATTTTTAATCCATTTTAAATACTTAAAGTTTTAAAAATAGAATAAAATCACGTAGACAAATTAATTGCACACCAAGTGAACGCCAAATAAAAAAGCGCATAATAGTGCGCAATATTATTATTACTTTTAAAATTTACATTAGTTTTTTGAGAAATCGGAAGTAGCGTAAAGTACTTGACTCAAAATTTAATAGAAGGTAGAGAATTAGATCTTTTACTTACTTGTGAAATTTCATTTATCTATCTGAAATAGTACTCAAGTTATAGGCTTTTGAAAAATTCAAAGTAGGAAAAGTACCACTTCCGGTTATCGGAAATCGCTCAAAAGTTGATACGTATCTACGATTTTGATTAAATACATATATATGAAATTTCATCAACCTAGCTGTAACGGTACTCAAGTTATCGTGTTTACACACGGACAGACACACAGACACACACAGACATACGGACAAGATTGCAAAATTATGTTTTTCGTATCAGTGCACGATTACAATACTTTCTCTATACTACGTATATACGAGAAAGTAAAAACGAAAAAGTAGATTGGTCTTTTCTGGCAGCCATCATTACCAAGGCAACAGCTTTAAAAAGTAGGTCAAGCGACATCTTTCTACAGAATCAATCAGCCTACAGACAATGGAAACACGTTCTAGATAAATTATAGATATTCAGTTTGTTTATAGTGATTAATGTGATTGATTCAAGTAATTGTAACTTAAGCAATCGTCTCCATAATCTCTGCATGTGACATTTTAAATATTCTCATTGCTCATGTCGTTTATTCTTGTATTAGTTTACCATAGTTTACCTACAATCTACAAATCTACATGGCAGTACATGGCATGCAGCTCGTGCTTTAGTGCCTGGCTTTAGAGTAAACTTTAGGGGCAAGGCTTACCGCTAACTAATAGATCTAGAAAGTTAAGCGGCTAAGCCTTTGTCCCACCCAGTGAAACCACTAAATCTAGAATAGATCTATCAGTGACTTAGTGACTACCTTGTTTCTATTCAAACTGTAATAAGTACTAATAAGTGTAATTTATCTCCTGATTTCCTACTAATTAATAATTTAATAGTAATTAATTAATAGATCTATATAGTATAGGCCTACATGTAAGAGCTGTAGACTGTAGTGAGTATTTACTTAATACTAAAAGTCAAACTTCAAAAGAAAAATTAAGTCTAATTAGTAATTAGTAATTATTCTATTTATTTTTTAATGTTGCAGCGTGAGGTAATATCCATCCATGTGGGCCAGGCAGGAATCCAGATGGGCAATGCCTGCTGGGAGCTGTACTGTCTGGAACATGGCATCCAGGTATGTAAGACATGCCGGCACTTGTTCTTAAGATTCTTTAGTTAGTTACTTAACTTTAACATAGGGCTGTGTGGTCAAGTTGTAGATCAGTGGCGTAGCGAGGTCGGGTGTCACCCGGTGCGGCACTTAATGGTGTCACCCCCCAGAGGTGTAGTGACCTTTCCCGGGGACAAACTTTCAAACTTTCGATTTGCACCCCCACCCCCCCCCCTCAAACTTTCGATTTGCTATTTTTTGCCTTGGTGTCACCCCCCTACCTAAATGGTGTCACTCTGTGCGGTCCGCACCCCCCCCCTCCTCCTCGCTACGCCTCTGTTGTAGATCACTTGTTTACCAGCTTGGACATTCCCAAGTCCCCCGTTTTGTGATGGGTGTCTATCAGACTCTGGCTGGGCACAGTGCTGACCACTATCACTTTCCCAGTGGAGGTCACTGAAACAGGTGAAATAGGAACTCAACTTTATTATCCCCGATGACCAACAAGTATGAAAGTGTACTACTTTGCATTCATGCCCATTTTCTTTTTTTTATTATCTTTTATCATCATCTAGTGGAGCACAGGTCATTTTTAGCATCATTGGGCTCGTCCATAAATGACGTCACACTCGTAGGGGGGAGGGGGGTCTGTAGTTTTAGACGGTGTGTGATGAGGGTGTGACGTCACACTTTTGCATTATAAGAAAGCAACGTTAGAAAACAAGTTTCAGCCGTAATTTTGCATTTTAAAAAACTTTTAATAAATTGTAATAGGAATTGATTTAAAAAACTCTATGTTGACAGAGTTCAGACAAGATTTTGGAAAAATATATTTAAAAAAAAATTCAACTGAAATTTTGAGGGGTCATTTTACTATATTTAGGGGGGTGGGGTCTGGCTTTTTGTGACAATGTGGGGGGGAGGGGGTAAAAATCATCAAAAAAGCGTGACGTCATTTATAGATGACCCAATTCTCCTTCCATTCCATGCTTTTCTGCCCTTTTCTATTAATTTGTTTTGCTTTCTCCTACCATTTTAAGTCTTTTCCCAATTACTCAGCCAGGTGTTTTTGGGTCCCCATCATTTTGTTGATTCTTGTGAAATCCCTGTTTGCCTATTGTCATTTTGTTGATCCTTGTGGAATCCCTGTTTGCCTATTGTCATTTTGTTGATTCTTGTGAAACCCCTGTTTGCCTATTGTCATTTTGTTGATCCTTGTGGAATCCCTGTTTGCCTATTGTCATTTTGTTGATCCTTGTGAAATCCCTGTTTGCCTATTGTCATTTTGTTGATCCTTGTGGAATCTCTGTTTGCCTATTGTCATTTTGTTGATCCTTGTAAAATCCCTGTTTGCCTATTGTCATTTTGTTGATCCTTGTGGAATCCACATTTGCCTATTATCATTTTGTTGATCCTTGTGAAATCCCTGTTTGCCTATTCCTTCAGAATGTGGCCTATCAATCTCCACATTTTCTGAATTTTTTCATGTCTTCAGCATAGCATAATTATGAAAGAAATACATTCAATGCTGTATTAATATTTAATTTGATCAGCCTGACGGAACAACAACAGGCGATGGGCTCAATGGAAATGGGGAGAGTTCCATGCACACATTTTTCAGTGAAACAGGAAGTGGGAAACACGTACCCAGAGCATTACTTGTCGACCTGGAGCCAACAGTTGTTGGTAAGTAATGGGACCAATTTTTGTTTGTAACGTAAATAATACATGGGACCAATGGTCTTAGGTATGTTATGCAGTGATTGTATATAAGATGTGTAGCATATTGTTGTAAGATATGGGACCGATGGCTATAAGATATGGGACTTATCAACTGTAGAACGATAGTAATACCATAATAGGTGTTAAAATAGTAGAACCTTATAATTAATACTAATAGTTTCGCTGTCTCTCTATGTATCTATCTGTCTGACAAGAACGCTCTAGAGAAAACACAAGGAATTTAAAAACCTGCATAGTAATTCGAAAAACGAAGTATGACGTCGACACATTTAGCATAGAGTTGAAAAAAATCTCAAGGCGGAAAGTGCACACAGTAATATAATGACGTCATTGATTCTGGCGTAAACATTGAATAAAGAGGAAATGTTGTCTAATCTAAGTGGTTTGCGTGAAGAGTTTCTTGCATACAATTCTTCGGGTAGGGGCGAAGCCCCACCCCCCGCGTAAGAACGTCTGAGCCCCTCCCCCTCCCCAACTCAAAAGAAATTTCTTCATCGATACTCTATAATAAAATTACCGCCTAATTAATGTGTCTAATCTCAAAAGTGGTTTTCTTGCAATTTCTTTAATGCAATTCTTCGGGTAGTGGCGACACCAGTGTTTCTTTCAGGCTTTTTCCTCCCCGGAAAGGGGTGGGGGTAATTGAATTTTCGGGGGCGGGGGTAGAATTTTCGGGGAGGGGGGCGGACACTGGAAAAAGTATATAATTATATTTCGTTGAATGGGACGGTAGACATGTTTTTTTGGGAGTGGGGGGTGGGGGTGGGGTGGGTGTGTGTGTGGGGGGGGGTGGGTGGGGTGGTTTCCTCATCGATACTCTATAATAAAATTACCGCCTAATTAATGTGTCTAATCTAAAAAGTGGTTTTCTTGCAATTTCTTTAATGCAATTCTTCGCGTAGTGGCTAAGCGCGACACCAGTGTTTCTTTCAGACTTTTTCCTCCCCGGAGAGGGGTGGGGTACTTGAAATTTTCCGGGGCGGGGGTAGAATTTTCGGGGAGGGGGCGGACACTGGAAAAAGTATATAATTGTATTTCGCTGAATGGGACGGTAGACATGTTTTTTTGGGGGGTGGGGGTGGGTGGGTGGGGGGGGGGGGGGGTTGGGGTTGGTTTTAGTTTAGAGAAAAGAGACAGCACTATCAACCTAGCGCCCGGTGTATCCTTCCTCAACGGGCCATTTTTCTCGTAATACCATAATAGGTGTTATAATTAGGTAAATTATATAGGTCAACCTGTAGGAGGGTAAGAGCCACTTCTCTGCTAAAAATAGGTTAGTAAAATGTGATAAAATAAAATATTTGCTCTACTGCTCCGTGGGCTGATACACGAGAAGGACAAAATGGTAAAGTGATAATTGATATGCTAGGGCTATATTTTACTGCCACATGAAACTAGGTCACGGCAGGATAACCGTTTTTAAAGCAGTATTAACATTACAGCAGGAAGTAACAGCAACAAGCAGTAATGAGTAAACTTATTAATAACCAGGTCCAGTGACTGATAATGCAATGCATGTAGTTTACGTCCTATAGTAAAATTATAAGTTACTTATTTAAAAAAACAAGGTTAATTACAAGTGTAGGTTGTGAATTTCTTAAACGTAAAAGTACTTAAAAACATTGATAGTGAAATATGAGTACAAAATAATACGGTAAATGAAAAAAAATATGTAAACAAATACAACCTGAGCAACATGCAAGTGGGGCTCACCCTGGCATACTAAAGCTCAGTAAAAAGAGATAGAGGTTCAGGTTTCCTCATCTTTAGTTTTATGCGCTAATTTTCTGGGTGCCACTTAACCCTTCCCCCTGCCATTACTCACACAAAAGTATTGGTGAAAATCCTCATAAAACATTATATTCAAAACGTTATCAAATACTATCTCTCAGCATTCTGTAAAATACAAAACAGGAAAACCAGCAAATTGCAAGATGAGCTTATCCATCCTAAATATTTACTATCATAGTCTTAACTCTATCAGGTTTAGGCTTAATTAGTAATCCACAGTGGGATTATGTTCTACCGGATTTTTGTGTGTGCTGGGGGAGATTAATCTAGGGGGTATTGTCCTGCTCCCCGGCTGTAGATTGAAAAACTTAACTTTCATTGTGTATAATTGTTCTGCTAGGGTGAGCTTGTGGTGTATATCTCTAAGCACTTTAAAGACTGGGAAAAACTTAACTTTCATTGTGTATAATTGTTCTGCTAGGGTGAGCTTGTGGTGTATATGTCTAAGCACTTTAAAGACTGGGAAAAACTTAACTTTCATTGTGTATAATTGTTCTGCTAGGGTGAGCTTGTGGTGTATATCTCTAAGCACTTTAAAGACTGGGAAAAACTTAACTTTCATTGTGTATAATTGTTCTGCTAGGGTGAGCTTGTGGTGTATATCTCTATGCACTTTAAAGACTGGGAAAAACTTAACTTTCATTGTGTATAATTGTTCTGCTAGGGTGAGCTTGTGGTGTATATCTCTAAGCACTTTAAAGACTGGGAAAAACTTAACTTTCATTGTGTATAATTGTTCTGCTAGGGTGAGCTTGTGGTGTATATCTCTATGCACTTTAAAGAATGGGAAAATGATATCCGATTAAATTACTATTGTAACATCGTTAATCGTCATTAGATGAAGTCAGAACTGGCACCTACCGCCAGCTGTACCACCCAGAGCAGATGATCAGTGGGAAAGAAGATGCCGCCAACAACTACGCCCGTGGTCACTACACCGTCGGCAAGGAAATTATTGATCTCGTTATTGATAGGATCAGGAAATCAGCTGACCTGTGCAGTGGGCTTCAAGGTTTCCTTATATTTCACAGGTAAACTAAGTCTCATATTTCACAGGTAAACTAATCCTTATATTTTACAGGTCAGTTCAGAGTTGTAAGACAAAGCCTTAGTGAAACAGAACTTAGTAAAATAATTTCCCCAATTATAAGATTATCTATGCAATTCTTAAATACCCTAGCTTAATTCACAACATTTAGGGACCAAAAATAGTTAAAAATTGAAATAAATGTTTTGCATTGTTTTCACTTAATATTTACAGTTTTGGTGGGGGCACTGGATCAGGATTTGCCTCTCTATTGATGGAGCGACTGTCTGTGGACTATGGAAAAAAATGCAAATTAGAATTTGCTATTTATCCAGCTCCACAAGTAAGTATATTTTCACCAATTAACAAAAACCATTTTACACTTTAAAAAATACAATTTTATAAAATAGGTAAAAAATATTGTTAAAAAAAAACCCACAAGATTTTGTAATTTATAAATAAAAGCATAACCTAAAACATTTAGACAAGTCGTCTAACAATATGTTGCATAATATTGATGGGTAATATTTAAAACATCCTACTTGACGGTTGTTTCAAAAAAGATATTTATAGCATGAGGTTAAAATATAAACACATTTCCTTTCTTGAAAATATTTTGTCAATGAATTTAAAAATCACTCATTTTTCTCAGATGTCATGGGGAAAAAGCATATAAAATTGTTATAAATTAAACAAATGTAAAGCATAAATTTATCTCAGATGTCATTGGGAAACAGCATATAAAATTGTTATAAATTAAACAAATGTCAACCATAAATTTATCTCAGATGTCATCCGCTGTGGTGGAGCCGTACAACTCTATCCTCACCACACACACCATGCTGGAGCACACAGACTGCGCTTTCATGGTGGACAATGAGGCTATCTACGACATCTGCAAAAAAAATCTGGACATTGAGCGGCCATCTTTTATTAACCTGAACCGATTAATTGGACAGGTGGTCTCCTCTATTACAGCTTCCCTCAGGTAGGCGTACACAAATAACAAGCTTAATTTACCTTGTTTAGATGACACAAGTAACAAGCTTGATTTACCTTCTGTTTAGATGACACAAATAACAAGCTTAATTTACCTTCTGTTTAAATGACACAAATAACAAGCTTAATTTACCTTCTGTTTAGATGACACAAATAACAAGCTTAATTTACCTTGTTTAGATGACACAAGTAACAAGCTTGATTTACCTTCTGTTTAGATGACACAAATAACAAGCTTAATTTACCTTCTGTTTAGATGACACAAATAACAAGCTTAATTTACCTTCTGTTTAGATGACACAAATAACAAGCTTAATTTACCTTCTGTTTAGACGACACAAATAATGAACTTAATTTTCTTTGTTTCATAATTTTTCCTTTCCGCTCCCTACAGAGCTTAATGCCTCTGTCAAAGCTTTCCACTTTCCCCGGTGTCCTGCCACTTATTTCAGCTGTTCCCAATTCCTTCCTATTTTTTCGATCTCCTCCAGCATGCTACGTCGCCATGTCTTCCTGCGTCACTTGCCTAGAGGGTTCCACTCCAAGGCCTGTCTGGCTCTATCGCCAGCGTCCTTCCTAAGTGTGTGCCAATCCATCATTATTTCCTCTCCATGATTTACCTTTCTATTCTTTCTTATCTCCCATACTTTCTTGTTTTCTACCTGTTCTTGCCGTTTTATTTTTAATATACTCCTTAAGCACCTATTAATAAAAGTCTGGATTCTTTTTGTTGTTGCCTCTGATGTTTTCCTTGTCTTGAATCTGTATAGCAGGACTGCTTTTACATTTGAGTTAAACCCTCTTTTAGATGACACAAACAATGACCTCAATTTTACTTCTTTTTAGCATTAATAATGTTTTTCTTTTTTTTTTAAATTCACAATTCAGGAATGTGATTTAAAACAAATTCTATTCGAAATTATTTATACTAGAAAGGCTATACCAGACTATCATGTAGAATGGCATATTAATCAAAATTAATTACAGAATAAACTAATTTTTCAAGATGAAATCATATGTACATCCTGGTAAGACAACCCTATCTCTAAGGTTGCAATTCTGTTTGCACTGAGATTTACCTGTGTTTAAGGATTGATTTGGTTTTTGCACTCATTGGTGATTCAGACTTGATGTGACATTCCAGAAATCTCTTGAAAAAGCTGCTGTTTTAGGTGACATTCATGCATTTGTTGTGTGTAGTTAAAGGATACTGTCTTAAATGGTGTTGATTTTTTTAAGTTAGTGTTTCTTGTATTAATACAAGATTCCTGACTTTAAATTTCTAAGGTTTTGCCTTGGATTTTCTGTCTATACGTTCCTTCATGTTAAAAAAATTCTTGATGATTTAGCCTTGGCATTTTGTCAGTATATTCCTTTAATTTTTAAACATTTGCCATGTTATTGCCTTGGATTTGTTGTCTTCTACATACCTTTATTGGCCTATACAGCCAGTGATCTTGTGACCTCCACAAAAGGTAACCACCCCCACATGAATGCACACAACTGAGTCTTGGTTTGGAATCGCAAGATTTATAATTGTTTTTATTTTATAAAGAAACTGGGTTTTTTCATCAACACTGAAGCTGTATTGCAGAATTTCTTGACTTCTTGTTGTAGACACACCAGCAATATGTTTTTTTTTACTGAGCTGTTGAAATAGGGCTCTTAAGCTTTTCTTATGTATTTTTTTTTAACTGCGAAGAGGAAAACAAGATTTCATTAGTGGTCTTTGATAAGGCTTGATAAATGACTTGAAAGATTTTACTAAAAAGTTTATTTGTGTGGAGACAAGATCTCTGTCATGAAAATCTTAAGGGCAGTTGTTTAAAATACACATACTAATCAATTTTGCCAGTCTTCTCTTCTTCTCTTATGGATCTCTGAAAATATTTTTCTGAAATTTAGTGTTTTCTTGATGATTGCACCACAATAATTGTTGAATCCTTAATCTGGTGTTTATATTTATAGTATGATAGCAAAAAGTTTTTAACACTAGGCAGACATTTTCATTTCAACACAGCATTGCTTGACTTTAAATCAGTAGAACGTTTGATAACTTGGCAGTGTAGCAGACCTATGTTTTATGTTGTTCTCAATGTTAAATATCTCTGTGATTAGGATTGAGTAAATCTATTTTCTAAATCTAACAAATAAAATTAGTAACTTATATGCAAACTTGTATATAATTCTATTATAATTTTAGGTTCGATGGTGCTCTAAATGTTGACCTCACAGAATTCCAGACAAATTTAGTCCCCTATCCAAGAATACATTTCCCTATTGTGACATATGCCCCAATCATTTCAGCTGAAAAGGTAGTTGTTTTTCCAACTTTTAAATTAACTCTCAAAAAATTAAAATATTAACTTGAAAGGATTTATTAACAATTTAGAAGTAAAAAAGATGACATAATTGCTAGAAATAAAATTTACTACCGATCATATCAAATTACTAAAATATATAATTAATTAATAATACTTAAAAAATTAGACTTGGTTATTTAAACTTTTTTATTATAAATCCTACCAAGAATAAATTTTCGGGTTAATAATAATGACTTTCATTAATTATTTTTACCTGTGTAACAAATCGCTCTTGCAGGCTTACAGTGAGAGATTATCAGTAGCAGACATTACGACTGCTTGTTTTGAACCAGCCAATCAGATGGTAGTGTGTGACCCCAGGAAGGGGAAGTACATGGCCTGCTGTATGCTCTTCAGGTGGGGGTAGACATAAATTAGGTTCAAACATGTCTTTATTAGATAAGGCAGTAACTAAGATTATTAGTTTGATCAGTACTTTGATCCTTTTAATTTTAAAATATACATTTAAGCAGTCGTGTATGGCAGAGTTTCTTTCAGGCATTAATTTTGGGGTGCCACAGCCCACCCAAGCACGTCCACCCCAGCTCGTCCATCCCCACACCCCCTACCTAACAAAGAAGAAAATATATTTACTGTATAATATATACTTCAATCAGTGCCCTCCCCAATGGAAATTTTAAGTGTAACCCCATATTCCCTGTCTGTAAGAAACACTGGCAGTAACTTTGATCCTTATTCACATTTAGTGACATTGTAATTAAAAATTAGTTTCTTCTCATTAGAATCATTATCTAAATTAAAATTACAGTGTCATCCTAATTAGAATCGGTTTGTGTGTTCAGATTAAATATAGTGCTGCACACAAATTTAACTAGCTGTAGGTAATATTTTAAAATTTCCCCTATGCAAGTTTTTTTTTTCCTGTTTTAACAGAATTTATTAGGCCAAAATATTTATTATGCTTTGCACCTACACAACTTAAAGTAGCTTATATTTTCATAATAAATGTTAAAAAAAAAATATGTGAGAGGTTTATCTTTCTTGCTAAGCACTAATAATAATTTCCCTTGTTAATGTTTTTAACTTTGTTCATTTTTTCAGGGGAGATGTGGTGCCCAAAGATGTGAGTGCAGCCATCGCCAACATTAAAACCAAACGATCGATTCATTTTGTTGACTGGTGCCCTACAGGTTTCAAGGTGGGATTTTTCTACTTTTAACTGCATGACATTTATTGAAAAGGGGTACTCCATTTATGATGTTCACAAAAATATTGAGTTTTAGACCCCCATCCCTTTTCTTCCCTTTGTTCACATGCATCCAGTTTAAACGAATCCTCAGCAAAAATGTAATAATTTATAAAACACTTCCGATGTAGACCTATTAATTTAATAACGTGTATGTAAAGCTTTCAGTGCCAGACGTTTACATACTGAAATCTCTCATCAAATATTTGTAGCAGGGCTTGGGATGTGCTGAGTTGGCCCACATCTAATTAAAAATGTTTTAAAAATTATAAATATCTGATGAGTGCTTGTTTCTTTTTATTTTGATTCGATTTCCCCCATATGAGAAAACGAATGCAGGGTATTAACTTTTTTTGAAAGTAGTATTTTCTGTATTTGTACACATTACAATAAGTTAAGGGGATATGCGCGGGAAAAAAATCACAAAATTTCTGGTTTTGTCATGATGGGTTTCTTGCACTTTTGGATACTTTGTCCATTTTTGTATAAAGAAAATAATAACTTTAAAGAGAAAAAAATATTTTATGTGTTTGAATTACGATTTTTATGACCCTATTAATTAAAAAAATAATCAATTTTTCCCAATCTTACAAGCTCTCTATGAAAAGTTTTATATCCGTCATTATATTGTCTTTGACATCATTGGAAAGCTGGATTTCTCATGTATTTAATAAACTTAATTTCCTACATCTCGGAAACACCCAAAGCTTACAATCTGCTTTGCAGTTTACACAGATATGGTACTTTCCTGACCTAGTTTTCGTTACTTTTGGCGGTTTTTCTCAGTTTGCAGGTTTTTAACACTAAAAAGCCTACTACTTTTTAATTTATTAAACAATGCCAACCATATTTTCAGTAAATGTTCTTGATGCGAAAATACAACTTTTGTCACGAGGGAATTGTGATTGCTTTCATAGAAAAAAAGTATTTGGTAATTAATATGCAAATTTTGAAACTGTTGAATACTAAAAAGGGTACGATTTTTTAGACCTTGTAAAATTCTTACTAGTATTTATTTCAAAAAGTTGTCGTGACAAAAGTTTTAATATATACTGAAATATAAGCAGTTTAAATTTGATTGCTATAGGTGCATAAATAAAAAAGCCTTAGTATTTTTAAAAGTACCGAAAAATTCAAAATGGCGGAGGTTTTTTGGGTTTCCATGACAACCAAAATTGTTTTCGACCTTTTTTTTGCTGTTTAATACTTACTTTTATATGCCAAATATGATAAAAGTATTCAAAAGGCTTTAGATCTTAAACTGTAAAAAATAGAAAAAAACATAGCATATCCCCTTAAGTCGTAAGGCATCAAGGTCATGGCCTCTTTCTTTTTTCTCTAATGACTCCCAGCAGAAATACAAACTTTATGCAGATACCAGGGTCTAATAATTTGTAAAACATGGGTTTTGTTCAAATTATGTGCTGTTAAAATAGATAGTTTGTAAGCAGGTTATAAGCTAAATTGTGTTTTGTAATACTCACAATTAAATGTTATGTTAAATTTAACATGTAGACATTCACATGGATCCGACCCCCCCCCCCCCCCCCCCCCCCCCCCCCCCTTCTTTCCCCACAAAAGTCAGTTTTTTCTGTACCCCCTCCTCCTTTGTTTATTGAAGTCATAGATAGATGACCCCAGAACAACAAATACATCACTGAATTTTAAATTAAATGATTTTATATTTTTAATAAAAGTTGTCAGTAAACATTATTAAAACACATGGCAAGAGATGTATTTAGAAAGTTTGAATTTTTAAAATATCCCTCTTTTTTCAATTTTATGATTATTTGAACACATTCAGAATTATTTTACCAATATTTTTTTTAATGTATTAGGGGAGGTTTTGAGGTAATTAGTTTTACACAACACATGATACATGCTAATGTTCAATTCCAATTAGATTTAGATTGTTTTAATGTAATAGAAATTAACCTTAGTCTTATAGATAAGTCAATGTGGATGAAAATACAGATTATCTGTTACAAAACACGTTTTTTCTGCTATTACAGTAAAAAAAAGGGAAGTAAAGAATTCTTTTGAACCTGAGGGTCCGGTCTGTGGGGCAGGTGATGTAGAGTTCACCTGTTTCAATGACCTTGGTGTATAAAGGGATAGTGTGGTCAGCACTTTCTCTTATGTGAGCTAGCTACCCATCAGAGGTGGGTGGATTCAGAGATGTCTTTTGGACAAGAACCCGTGATTCAAACTTCAGACTTTCGGGTTGGCATTTTATGCTCTACCATCCGACTACTCCATCGATAATTACAGTGACTAAAACCAAAAATATAGCATTTTAATATGCGGTAGTTTAGTTAAAATATGTGCTTTATGAAAATGTAAAAAGTATTTTGCAATAATTTAGAGCAATGATTGTCCTCAGATTGGCATCAACTACCAGCCCCCCACGGTCGTCCCTGGGGGTGACCTGGCCAAGGTGGAGAGAGCCGTCTGCATGATGAGCAACACCACAGCCATAGCGGAGGCTTGGTCCAGGCTCAACCACAAGTTTGACCTCATGTATGCCAAGAGGGCTTTTGTCCACTGGTGAGTCATTTTGTGATGGTTTAAAGTAGTATTTGCCTAGTAGTGAGTCATATTGTGATGTTTTAAAGAAGTATTTGTCTATTAGATTAGCAAGTCATTTTGTGATGCTTTAGAGTAGTATTTGTCCATTGTGAGTCATTTTTTAAAATCTTTCAGAATAGTATCTGTCTAAAACAAATCATGATTTAATATGTCGTATTTGTCCATTAGTAAGACATTTCTTATCTTTCAAAACATTATTAGCTTATTCATAATCCGATGACATAGTGTTTTACTGGTAAAACAATTCCTTATATTTAATGAGAGCATTTAAATATTTGAGAGACTTTACAGAGATTGTTTATGAGCCTTGGGTTCATACTTCAGAATCCTAGTACATCACCAGATACAACTCTCTTAGTCGTGTTGGCTGTTTTTTTTTTTTTTTTTTTTTTTTTAGAATAGCTTATCTAAAACAGCTAAGAAAAATTCTGATTTCACAAGTATGTAACAGCTAAACTCAAGCATTGAAGCAGATGATCTTTGCTTCATGTACCGTCTTAGGCACAAATAAGAAAAGATGATCATGTTATACATACTTTTCCATTATTCTGAGAATGTTTATACCTGTTTAATAATATTCACAATGCTTTGACAAAAAGAATTGAAAGTGACACAAGCTAGCTGTAGCAAAAATTTAAAACTTATCAAAAGAAAGCTGTCAATTTGGTTGTCCATAGGTAGGGGGGTAGGGGATAGGTTCTAATCCCTACAGACATGCTCTGCGCATGCCACTTTATAGTTTTGCAGTATTCCACTTTATAGTTTTGTAGTATGCCATTTTATAGTTTTGCAGTATTCCACTTTATAGTTTTGTAGTATGCCATTTTATAGTTTTGCAGTATTCCACTTTATAGTTTTGCAGTATGCCATTTTATAGTTTTGCAGTATTCCACTTTATAGTTTTGCAGTATGCCATTTTATAGTTTTGTAGTATGCCACTTTATAGTTTTGTAGTATGCCACTTTATAGTTTTGTAGTATGCCATTTTATAGTTTTGCAGTATTCCACTTTATAGTTTTGCAGTATGCCATTTTATAGTTTTGTAGTATGCCACTTTATAGTTTTGCAGTATGCTACTTTATAGTTTTGCAGTATGCCATTTTATAGTTTTTCAGTATGCCACTTTATAGTTTTGCAGTATGCCACTTTATAGTTTTGCAGTATGCCACTTTATAGTTTTGCAGTATGCCACTTTATAGTTACCTCTTCTTTCTTTCCCTTAGGTATGTTGGAGAAGGTATGGAGGAAGGAGAATTTCACGAAGCAAGGGAGGATATTGCTTCACTGGAGAAAGATTACGAGGAGGTCGGAGCTGACTCGGTTGATGCAACGGAGGATGCTGGTGATGAATACTAGATGACAGTGTCATAGCTGACAAAAATACTAGATGACAGTGTCATGGCTGACAAAAATACTAGATGACAGTGTCATGGCTGACAAAAATATAAGAGGACATTTAAACACTGAAATAATTTCTAATATTTAAAATCCTGATTAAATACTAGTTGATATTCATTCATTAACACGAATAATTTTTTTAACAAGGAAACATACACTAGATGACAGTTACAAACAGTTTTAAAACAAATGACAGATGACTACAGAAAATATTTCAAGGACATGGACATACTAAAATAGGCAAACAATGGTAAGATGTCATTGGTAAATTATTGAAAGATGCTGTTTTGTGTATTAATCAATTTTTTTGTGATGATTTGAAAAAATCAGCTACTTGATGGTGAATTGATTTTAAATTAAAATTTGACAGTGTGTGCAATAAATGAACGTGTGTGTTACCATATTTATGTCAACTGAAAAATGATGGGTGTGTGTGTGTTGTTGGTCAAATTATTTATTCTCGTCATATTTTTACTTACTTACATTGTCTGTTTTTTTTATAAAAGCCAATGTCTTGCATTTCTTATGCTTGCTCTTATTGTATTCAAGTTAGGCCTATGTGATGGTTGAGTATTTTAAAACTTGTTTCAGAACCTGTTGAAAAAGTATTAAAATAAAATTTTAAAACTTGAAAGGAGTTATTTACTTGATAACTTTTTTTAACAAAATAGAAAAAGGGTTCATTTATTTTCAAGGTTATTTGTACTAATTTTTAAATTACAAAATTTAATTAGAAGGAATGTTGCAGCCTATGTGGCCAAAAAATTAAATGTTTGACCCATCTCTATCTGTTATTGCCTTTAGACCAAACTTCCTTAAAATTTACAAAATACAAAAATGGTTCAAAAGCTATATTACAGCTTATATATAGATAGTAAAATTAAATGTTCGACATCTCTCTCTATCTCATAACTATAGACCACACCCTATAATTTTTTTTTTTTAAATATAACCCCATCCCTCCTCTATGGTGACTCACTGTGGTCATTATACCCTGATCAATTACCACAATATACATTATACACCTCCTTTCCCTCCACTTTTTTTTTCTGAGGTAAACTATGGAATAGCCACCCTTTTCATTTATTTTCTGGGCATATAGAAGTATGGTTAAGGAGCTGAATATATAGATATGTATTCTAAAGATTAGGGAGAGGGGGGAATTACCCATGCGCTAATTGATTTTATGTAAAAAGTAAACGCCCACATTTTGTACACCGTGACAAATACGCTCCAACATTTTCACCCAGTTTAAATTACATCACAACTAAAAAAAACGTTTACTTTTTGCAAAAGAACAGTGGCTTCAAATGTGACCAGTCACCTGTTAATAGGGCTGGTAAGTAGGTCACCAACCAGTTATACGGCTCAATAAAACTACTGCCCCCCCCCCCCCCCCCCCCGAGAAAAAATTCTGAAAGAAACAATCTACACGGAGATACGAAATAGTGCCACAAGCCCCGATACGCTAGCAACACACTGTAATAGAGGAGGATTCGATGTGCAATGGACAAAGGCTGAGCGATCGGTGTGGTGGGGCAGATAAAGCTCATGGTTGAAACCGAAACTTCCTGCGTTCGAATCCACGGGCAGATGGGGCTCGATAACTGGAGAAAAATCCAAAATCAAACGACTTGTTGTTGGTTCTTGGATGAAAAAAAAACAGGCTAAAGTCGGAGTGTTTTAACGCATTACATGTTGAAATACGGTGTAGGAGGAAATAACCTCCAATATATATAATGAAGAAGAACAAGGTCTCTTACTATGCTATTGGTATAGGGCTGATCGCCAAACAACCAATCGCTGGTAGGCTCTACATAGACCAAATATTTCTATCAGGTGTGCAGGTCACAGTCCGATGTAAATTCTGGTGTAGGCTATTTCTTTTATCGCACAGATCTGTCCTGTCATTAAATGGCTGTTAGAAGCTTGAGTAACTAGAAAGGGAAAGTACTCGTCCTTCCTTCAATCATAAATGTTGTTAAGCATTTGTCTACCATAGTTCAGAGTTGATTTTAAACCAGTATTGACCAGAGTTTCTTCCTGGCATCGAAAATTTTTTACCGCCTCCCCCCCCCCCCCCCCCCCGAACGAAATGAAATTTATATAATTTATATAGAAAATATATACTTTTAACAGTGTCCGCCCCCCCCCCCCCGAAGAAAGTCTACCGCCCCCCGAAAACTTCAAGTGCCCCCCCCCCCTCCCGGAGAAAAAAGTGTGGAAGAAACACTGGTATTGACAAGTAGGCCTATGCCATAAGTTTATTTCGGCAATAAAATACAACAAAAGATGTTTTATAATTCTTAAATTTTTTTTAAGCAAGCGGAAAGGTTTAAGTGTAACAATGTTCATATTAATAATATTATTCGATCTGCTTGGGATGCTATAAAGTTACCGTGAGATAATTTACATTGCACTCTCAAATGCTGATAAATATTTTAATATAAAACTAATTATACTCGTTAATAATAGATCTATTCCTTTTCGATAATTATGTATTTGTATTACTTTTGTTGTGAATAACATTAGTCGATCGTGTCAGTTCAAAATGTAGTTTATAGTGTTGACAGTCTGTATCAATGCGAGCTTTTATATCAATTCGTGTTTTGGCTTGATCTTGTGGTAATAGATGCGGTTGAAATAAAATGCGGTTGAGATAAAATGGACACACACACAAAAATAACACAAGTAGCTTCACATTACGAGACAATCCAAACTTAGTAATAAATAAATCAGATTTAAGAAACCTATAATAATAATAAAGTTTTAAATGCACTGAAAATTAAAAAGAAAACAGAGAAAACCAACTTGTTTTGGTCGCATCATGAAATATCTTTAATTTATTTTCAACTTACATTTAAAGAAAAAAAAATATTTTCCACAAAAAGCGTTAAGGTCAGGGTGTGGGCGAGGAAGATTCAACAAAGTAGGGCGTTCGGTCAGTAAACACTTGTCTACAAACCTTGCCAGTTCACTAATTTAGTCTGGAAGATTATGTTTATAGATACACACTTAATTTAATTTAACCCGCCAGCGCAGAATAATACGCCGCACACGTTTCCATGGCAACAATGTCAGAAACTTTCTAAAGCGGAACTTCTACTCTGTATTTTTAACTTTTCCTAAAATCAAGCATTTACCTTGTTTTCGATTTTAAGTAATGAAAATCCATACGACCAAAGATTATTTTCTTCACTTGTGTGTGCGTGTGCGCGCGCGCGTGTGTGTGACTGTGTCAGTGGCGTAGCGAGGACGGGTGTCACCCGGTGCGGCACTTGATGGTGTTACCCCCCAGAGGCGTAGCGATCCTTCCCGGGGACAAACAACTTTCAAGTTTTCGATTTGCTGCACCCCCCCCCCCCCCTCAAACTTTCAAACTTTCGATTTGCACCCCCCTCAAGTTTTCGATTTGCACCCCCCCCCCTCAAACTTTCGATTTGCAACCCCACCCCCCCCCCCCCTCCCGTCAAGTTTTTCTCTATATTTTTTGCTATTTTTTGCCTTGGTGTCACCCTCCTAAATGGTGTCACCAGGTGCGTTCCGCACCCCCCGCCCCCCCCCCCCCCTCGCTACGCCCCTGGACTGTGTGGCTGTCGTTGGGTTATGCTACTTGTTTAATAAGCTGTTTTATACTATTTGTATGCCATTAAATTAGACTTTCACTTCCTGTGTTCATCTTTGTTGATCCCCAGGAGAGTGTTTGGTTTGTGTGCACATGACATTGTAGATAGTATACAATTTGATTTTTTCGTGAGTCTTGTGTTAAGGCTGATAACTGCCTTATGAGCTAGTAGTTTAGTGCTCAGTGTCCTGGTAATACATCAGGTAATTTTTTTGAGTTTGTTCTGTGTGAACTACATGCGGATTTAATTCTGTCAGACTTTGTTTAATTCAAAGGCTAAATTTGTACAATTTCCATTATGGTGGCATCCTAATGCCTTGTATATAACCTTTTTTTTATTTTAAATAATTTTTGTCTATTTATCCTCTTTCTAGGACGGTAGTCCAAAATTAGGTTTTTTGTTCCGTTGAGTTCTGTTTTGTTGAGTTTTGTTTTGTATGTGTAGTTTATCTAGATCTAGAATATATATCTTTTCATTTACATTTTGGTTCCACCTTTTTTTAGCGCAATTTCCATACTAGCAAAAATTGCGTTTAATAACTCGTCATTTCTGGATGGATGGATGTGTGTCCGCAGCCTTTAAGTCGTATCTCCTCCTCAACGAAGCAATATCGAGGACTAGTTCCAAAAGCAAATATGTTAAGCAAGTTCCGAGGATGATTGTGGGCCAAAAAAATTCCCGGAATTCCTTCCTGGATTTCCCGGAAAAGCCAAAAAACCTCGAACAAATGCAGTTTTTGCTCCATATCTCGGCAACCAGACCACTTAGCGACTTGAAACATTTACCAATCGATTCCTGCCATAATTTAGACCAATATTGCCGAAGAAAGTTTTCAAAAATATCCTTTCGTTCGGTCACAAAAAAAATTAATTAAGAACATTTAAACTGAGCATCGTGTAGGCCTAGGATGATTTGAACTGAGCATCGTGTAGGAGTTTATATTTATAGGATGATATTTACAAAAAAATTAAAAATTAAAAATTGTTATGGATAACATAAGGAAATTGCGCTTAAATTGTCACTAGACTTTTTATTAACTTGTTTTAAAATAAATTCTATAAATTGTTAAAGTTTTTGTTTTATTTTTAGTAGTTTCTTATTTAGACTAAGGTTAGCCGGGTTTAACCAAACTGGGTCTACCACGGTTGCACTGACCGGACAGTTATTAGTTAAACCTAGGGTAGGTGTTAGTTATTCAACCCCAGGTGAGGCCAGTGCAGTTTCTGGCCGGGACGGCTAGCGTAGTACTTATATTATAATAAATGAAATTTCATCAACCTTGCTGTAACAGTACTCAAATTATCGTGTTCACAGACACACATATACACACACAGACATACGGACAAAATTGCAAAACTATGTTTTTCCGTCTGAGGGAGGTGTAAAAAGATTTTTGTAAAAACTAAGTAATTATCTTATATATTACTTTACTAAATAAATGATTACTTAAAATTAATATTAGCGTGTTGAGCATTCAATAAGAAATGGGTAGGCCAAGAAGATACTAGTCGTTTTGCGGCATAGGCCTACTGAAAAAAAAATCTGGCAAAACTAAAACATGGCTTTGCAGTAGATCTAGACCTAACAAGGGGACACCGCTCTAGATAAAAGTACGTAAAAATAATTGCATGACCGCTGCAACTGCTATCAACAGTTAGATCTAGATTCTAAAATAATGTAGATCTATCTATATCTATAATAATTTAGAATCTTAGATCAAATAAATAAATATTATTAAATATCGTTTTCAAAAGTTAATTTTAGAACAGTACTTCTGGTTTTTATCATTAATGGTGGGTAATCTATCGTTTTGGGTACGTAAAATCGCCCGCCGCTAGTAGGCCTAATGTACGAAAAAGTTACCACATTTGTGACTGTCAATACTACTCACTACTCATTTAAAATACTTTAAACTTTAAATGGTAATCTATCGTTATTATTTAGTTATCTATAATATTTGACACAAATATTTCACAATATTATGAATATACTAAAAATTAAAAATATACTAAAACTTCTATTAAATTGATTAAATAATTTATCTATAATATTTGACACAAATATTTCACAATATTATTATGAATAGGGGCCTATACTAAAAATTAAAAATATAGCCCTACTAAAACTTCTATTAAATTGATTAAATAATTTAAAGGGTAATCTATCGTTTTGGGTACGTAAAATCGCCAGCGGCTAGAAATGTGCGAAAAAGTTACCTCACTGTCAAGGCTTTAATAGAAGTATATTGTGAGATAGATTCTATAGGCCCCTATTTGTGTGAAATATCATAGATAGGCCTAAATGAATAATAAACCTAAATTAATGGCTCAATATATCAATTTAGGCCAGAAATCAACTTTAAACAGCAGTGTTTGCGAGCAAGATTTCCTATATAAACAGCAGCCATTTGTAAAATAGAGTTGCCTTCCCCTGAATCTTCCGCTATAAGTTAAACAAAATAAAACAATGTGGCTGCTGGGAACAGGGCATTCCCCCCCTGTCAGTTAACCCCCCCCCCAGTACCCGAGTAATTACCCCCCTGTCAATTACCCCTGTGTCAATTACCACCCCCCCCCGGATAGGGTTAGGGTTAGAGCTAGGGTTAGAGTTAGGGTTAGAGCTAGGGTTAGGGTTGTGTAAAATAGAATGGCTTCCCCTGAATCTTCCACTTTAAGTTAAACAAAAAATAAACAATAGGACATTTCCCCCCTGTCAGTTACCCCCCCCCCCCCCTCCCCCAGTACCAGAGTAATTACCCCCCTGTCAATTACCACCCCCATAACCCCCCCCCCCCCCCCACGGATAGGGTTAGGATTAGAGCTAGGGTTAGGGTTGTGTCTAGCGTTGGTTTTGGTTTTGTGTGAAGTTAAAGGCTAAGGTGGATGCTTAGGTTTTGGTCTTTTTCTTAAGGTTTGGATTAAAGTAGTATATAGGTATAGAATTCTAGTTAGAGTTAGGATTCTAACTTGAGAGGGGGGGGGGGGTAATGTCCTGTAGCCGTTGCTGCTATAGTAAATGAGTAATGGTTGCATCTGATGAAAACTTCGCTTTTTATGGTCAGATAAATGACACTTCCTAGCGAACTTTTTATGACACACATCACATTCATGTCTTAAATCTTCATTTATTACTGAAAAGATTTAATTAATTCAATTGTTTAAAAACAGGTACATAAATGAAACAAGAAAACATTTTTGTATTTTTCAAAACATAAATCCTCCTCAAAATGTGAAATAATTATTAATATTTAAGGAGTCACCTGTTTTTCACATTACTAGTCGCGGGCGATTTTTCGTACCTATAACGATAGATTACCTCATGGTGATCTATTATTTAGTTATCTGTAGGCTTTATAATGCTTTATTTAAAAGATAGCGGAAAATTTAATTTATCAGGCCTAGCCTACTTAATTTTCTAGTCTACTAACTAATATTAAGTACTAACTTACTAAGGTAGTATGTAGTAAGTACTAAAGTACTGTAAAGAAACCTACTGACTAATACTATAGTAGTAATAGGCCTACTACTACTAATTAATTAGGCCTACTAATCTAATCTAATGCTATCAAAAAAAGTTTCAAATCAATGAAGCCACATTCAGACGTTTATTTTTTTGTGTACATTTTGTATTTAGAAAGATAAGGCCTACCTACCTACTACTTCTGGCTACTCGATCTAGTACTAGATCTAACTACCTAGTGCTAGTACCTAGAAATAGAATTTAATTAAATTTAATAGTTAGGCCTAATTAATAGATATACAGTTATACTCTACCTAGGTCTCATATCATGACATATTATTATTATGAGAGGAAATTAGCACTGTATGTTTCCTCCACAGGGTGTGAGGGAATTTAAGCACTTTCAGCATTTTCTCTATATCAGGGGTTTCCAAAGTTTTCAGCCCGAGGGCCGCATTGACTATCAAATTCAGTTCGGGGGCCAGTTTCTTCCAGGCATGTCTTTGATTTTTCTGGGCAAAGTTCCTCAGCTATCACCAACAAACGTTTTTTCCGTGGACAAAAAGATCTCAGCGGGCTGGATGAGAGGACCTTGCGGGCCGCATCTGGCCCGCGGGTTGTAGTTTGGAGACCCCTGCTCTATAGTAACTCTATACTATAGTATAGAATAGAGGAAATGCTGAAAGTCTATAGCTATAGTAGTCTACAGTATCACGAAAAACAAAGACACTACTCTACGAAATAAAATATAGATTTGTATATCAAAATATACTTATTTCATTGATTCAGTTAAAGTTCTTGGTAACCGTAATCTCACGATATAGCATCGTTATTATTCTGTAATGGTACAGCAGTTGAAAGCAGTAAAAATATGGCATATTATGTCATTCCATTCCAAAAACCACAGAAAGTACTGCAAACTATATTTTATTTTGCGCCATATTTTTTAAAATTCATAATGTTTGAAAATTTGCTTAGATTGATTTTAATTGGATTTTAAATACTGTTTTGCTAATTATTGCTACTTCTAAACATTGATCTATTCCTTCTAATTACCTTATACTTTAGTAAATCTAATCGTCTTATTTTACTAGATCTAGAATCTACTTGCCACAAATCTCCTGCGTTTTTTTCTGTGTTTCTTAATAAAACATTAATTACTACACATGACAATACTATTATTATTTAGATCTACTAATTTTTGAAAATTTTCAGTCAATTAAATTTAAAATTAATTTAAAACATAAAAGCACTTTATTTATAGTTCAACTGTCAAATAAACTATGGTTTACAGTAACAAATGCATACAAAACTCAACACAAATATTAAGATTTTTGTTATCTCACTATATACTATATAGCGTCAGAAAAATCAATATTTTCTAAAACTATACCTTGCCCTAACCCTTAGAGGCTTAGCCTAACCCGTAACCCTAAACTAAGTAAGATTATAATATTAATGCCTTTTGCCACAATATCAATTTAAAAAAATACAATTAAGACAGGTTTGTAAACCGAAAAAAACAATACTTGATAACAGTCATACTATCTATTCTTTCACACACTGATAGGAACAATATGTGTAACAAATAACAATGCATTAAATAAAACTAACCTCTCTTAAAAATTCTAACACTTCCATTTAAAAATTCTAAATATATATATATATATATATATATATATATATATATATATATATATATATATATATATATATATATATATATATATATATATATATATATATATATATATATATATTACTATTAGACCTACTCCGTTCAAACATAATAAATGTTACACATTGGATTTTTTCCCTTGAATCATTACATACTTGGTATTTATTTTAGAGTATATACTATCTATATATATAATTCTCTTCTGGGAGACGCTAGAAAACAAGCTGTAAGCGCGCTCCCTACCGCCCCACCCCTACATGGTCTGGTGAGCTGTAGTTCATGCTAAATGAAAAATTTTAAATGTTTACAAGCAGAGCCGGGTTTAGTGACGACTATTAGGGGCAGATATTTTAGTTTGAAACGATTTTAAACATAGGGGGGGGGGGGGGTAACTAAGTGGAGTTTACTTTAACGGAGGGGGAGGAGTGGGGGAGTATCGTCCTTAACGAGCTACTTATAGTGTTTTAAAGAAATATTTTCAGTTGCAGCGTTGGTATTATCATAATTCACAAATTATGAATTACTGAAAAGTAGAAAAATAACAACTAAATAGCGGCATATGATATGCCGCGGGTCGGCTCGTGAAGTATAACATACAAAGTGTCAACATTTGTTGAAGGAAAATTACTAAATTTTGTTTTTGTCTAAGTATTTGACCTCTCCACATCTTATGAAGTAAGTAAAAGTAAAGTTTCCCTTTCAAACCTGACGGTCTTGTTTCTGTGACCTCGGCATATGAAGAGATAGTGTGGTCAACACTATGCCCAGCCGCCTTTACTCTCCATAACGTGAGTTAGGTACCCATCAGAGTTGGGTGGACTCAGGGACGGTCTACTGACTTGAACCCGGATTCGAACTCGAGACTAACGGGTTAGTAGTCCAGCTCTCTACCGCTAGACCACTCCGTCCCATACACACTTTATGAAGAGAGTTACTAAAATGTTGAAAACTTAAAAAATACTATTCATGGTGAAGTATTAAATAATTTCTAGAGAGTTTTTTTTTGTTTAAAACTAAAAAAAATTTAGGCCTAAAGTAATGGACTTCTCCACATCTTATGAAGAGAGTTACTGAAAGTTGAAAACTTTTTAAATATTATTCTTGTAAATATATTAAAATGTAGATATTTTAGAGGAAAAAATGTTTTAAAAATAATTTTATTTTTCTGTTTATATCTATTTTTATTTTCTCTTTTTTTAGCCATCCATTTAAATTTATATAGAACAAACTGGGGAAATCAGCTATGTCTTTAGAAAGTGCACTTGTGGTTAAACAGGAATCAAGTGACCAAGCAATACAATTTATGGATTTAAAATTAGATGAAACATTGGCAATTTCAACTTTAGAAGATGTGAAACCTAATTTAACATTGATTTCAACTTCAAATGTTATCAAACAAAATATATCATCACAATCTTCACCTTTTGAAGACAAGTCAAATGAAACAGTTGCATTTTCAACTTTACAAGATCAACAATCAGATGAAACATTTTCTTATTCTAAAGATATGAAACCAAATGTTTCAACAGAATTTTTAAAGTGTGATGTTATGAAAAAGGATATCTTAACATTTTCATCATTTAAGGGTGAAAACGAAAATAGCTTAGATGTTGAAAGACAGCTTGAATATTTACCAGACTCTGATGCTTTTATTGAAAATTTTACAGTTTTAAAATCAGATCTTCATCATGATTTAAAAGAACTCAAGAAATTGCATAAAGAAGTTATTGATAATTCTGAAGACAGATGCAATGAATGTGATGTGTGTCATAAAAAGTTTGCAAATAAATCTAGTTTAAATGCACACAAAATCATTCACTCTGGACTTAGGCCATATGAATGTGATGTGTGTCACAAAACTTATATTAGAAAATTTGATCTGTCTCTACATAAAAATGTTCATTTACCAATTAAACCACATGAATGTAATGTGTGTCATAAAAGGTATAGACAGAAGACTAGCTTGTCTACACACATAAAGATTCACTATGGACTTGAGCCACATGAATGTGATGTGTGTCATAAAAAGTTCCTTACGAAGTATAGTTTAATTATGCATAAAAATATTCATGCTGGAATTAAACCACCTGAATGTAATAAGCATTTAGGACACAAACTATACCAATGTGATTTGTGTCATAACACATTTACTAAAAAGGATGTCTTATCGAAACATATAAATATTCATCTTGGACTGAAGCTTCATAAATGTGATGTGTGTCATAAAAAGTTTACTCAGCAAAGTTCTTTATTTATACATATAAAGATTCATTCAGGAGACTTAAGACACGAATGTGATGTGTGTCATAAAAAGTTCGCTAGGAAGTGTCATTTATCTGACCATAAAAATATACATTCTAATCTCCAGCTTTATGAATGTGATGTTTGTCAGAAACGTTTCAATGTTAAACATCGTTTATTTCAGCATAAAAAAATTCATGCACAAATAAGACCATATGAATGTGATGTGTGTCATAAAAGGTTTACGAAGAAATCTAGATTGTCTACACACAAAAATAGTCACTTTGGACTTAAACTTAAACCACATGAATGTAATGTGTGTCATAAAAGGTTTAGCCGGAAAGATAATTTAGAAAAACATAAAAATAGACATTTAGGACACAGACCATACCAATGTGATTTATGTCATAAAAAATTTACTGACAAGTGTTTCTTATCTAAACATATAAATATTCATCTTGGACTAAAGCTTCATAAATGTGGTCTATGCCCTAAAAAGTATTTTCAGAGGTCCCATTTATCTCGACATCAAAAGACTCATTCTGGGCTTAGGCCACATAAATGATGTTTGTCTTAAAAACTATTCTCGGAAAGAAAAATGTTTGGAGCATTAAAAAAAAAGGTTCATTCATGCAGTCCATTTGAATGTGATGTGTGTCATAAATTGTTTTCTTGGAAATATTCTCCATCTACCCATCAGAAGTCTCTTACAGGAAATTAGCCACCAACATTTGATGTTGGTCATTTAATTTCTAAAGAAAAGCAAACACAATCTGTTTTTTTTTTTAACTTAGTGTTTAAGTTTAAATTGTGAGGATTTTTCTTGTAAACATTTGAAACATCAGCCTGTATGACTATGATGTCACTAAGAGTGCAATTTATTCAAGGTAAAAAATTAATTTTGTTAAATTATGCAACAATTCCTAAATACTCACACAAGAGAAAAAACACTTCAAAGAAAGAATGGATGTCATAAATCATCACAGCACATTCTTTACGATTACCTCGTTTATATATATATATATATATATATATATATATATATATATATATATATATATATATATATATATATATATATATATAACAATGAAGAATGAATGTTATTTCATAACAATGAATTCTATAAAGAAGTTTCATCAAACTTCGGTTAGGGGAAATATGTTTTAAAATATTTTTACTTTATTGTTCATATCTATTTTTATTTTCTCTAATAATAATAAATAGCTTGCAATAGGTATTTCACCTAAACAGCAGATCGTCAAAGAAGTTTGTCAACATAAAAGTTATCAGGGCTCAATTACTTTTTTTTCATTTGTATGTATAAATGATACTTCCAATGCTTATCGATGATGGACATTGCTAGATTTTCACTGATTATATTTCTGTACATTTTTCAAACAGCGTTTAAACATGTTGAATACCAGCTACAAATATTTGTCAATAAAATATGTCTATAAAAATGATACTTCTAAAAACACTTTTCATTCATTAAACAATGTGTTATTGTATTTGCCATCTCCATGCAGCTTAAGGAAGTGTTCTCCTTAGTATACCAACAGTGATTAAACTTAGTAGATAATTGGTAATAGAGTTTCTTTCTGGCATCTCTACGGCGCCACCTAAATGGTGTCAACGATGCGGTTCACACCCCCTCGCTACGCCTCTGCCCAGGGCATTATCTTAAGGTCCATTACTTTTTGCAAGCTTTTATTTAACTCACTTCCACGTCAGTCGTCAGTCTGCCTAGATCGAACCGCCCGAAACGTTTTTTATGAAATTTTTTTACAAGCTTTTATTTAACTCACTTCCTCGTCAGTCTGTCATCAGATAGTCTATCTAGATCGAAACGCCCGAAACGTTTTTTATGAAATATACTAGCATATAGCTAAACGCAGTCATACAAGTAACTGTATCTCTTTAAAAAACATATTTTAAACAAGGATTGAATTTTAAATTTTTAATAAAAATAGATATCTGCACCGTACCTAGTTAAGCAGGTATCGTAGATTTTTATGGCCCATATTTTGAAACCGACCCCCCACACCATCCCCTCCCAAATTTACCAACAGCCTCCCTCCTGCTGTTTCTTTTACCGTTGTGTACTATACCACCTCGTGATTTAATCAAGAGCGTTCTAGTCACGTGGACGCTTCACTCACCAATCAACAGACATCTTTATTGCAGATGTTTTCGTCATGCAGGAGATAGCAGACCGGTACTGCGCATCAACAGGCCTGTTTACCTCCCCTTCCATTTTAAAATATGAAAAATATGAAAAAAGAAATATTGGATATTTTGTGGGGGGGGGGGGGGGGGGGGGCAGAGTTTCTTCCACTCCAGGCATCTCTTCTGCAAGTCTACCACCCCGCCCCCCCCCCCCCGAACGAAATGGAATTTATATAGAAAATATATACTTTTGTCTGTGTCCGCCCCCCCCCCCCCCTCCCGAAAATTTCAAGTGCACCCCCGGAGAAAAAAGTCTGGAAAAAACACTTGTGGTGGTGGGGGGGGGGGGGGTATTTCCCTCATCACATTAGCCCATCCCCTCCTCATAAGTTGTGAACTAACACATAAATACGTGTGAGGTCGTAAGAAATATTGGAGTAGTGATGTTATCAATGTCTGACAATAGACTCTTCCGAAAAATAGGCGTGTAAGCTGTGTTAGTAGTGTTATAATCTCAGGTTTAAGGTTATGGTTACTGTTTGGGTTTGTGTTTAGGTTTAACTTGGGTTCGGTATATGTTTAGTGTTGACATTAGCAAATCATAATTGTATTTAGTAGAATATCAGAGACCTAAATCCCCTCCCATATTTTAAGAAGATTCCAAAATTGTGGCATTATCGGATACTGGTATAATACAAACCTTGAAATATTTATAACATCTATGTCAACTTTTGGAGATTTGTAGATTACTTATTAAACGAACAGTTAAATTTCTTTTTTTTTATAAATTTACCATATATAATGGTAAAGTTTATAGGGTGTTAACATACCCAATGAAATGGTTTGATCAGAATATGTATAGATAAGCTAATGGGGATGATGTTGCCCACTCGAATGTTATGAGTTAGGCCATCTACAACCCTCATTCAAAAGAACAAGTTTTTTTTCTATTTTCTATTTGTTTTCTAAAGCGGAAATAATGTAATTGCACTCTTAAACCATCTTTATAGTTTTTTTTTGGCGTCAGATATTTGGAAGTTTTGTTGATTATCAATGAGCGTTTTTTATATAAGAACAAGAGCGTGAAGATGGAATGACAGTAAAGTAGTGTTGCTTCCAGACTTTTTTCTCCGGGGGGGGGGGCGGACACTAGTAAAAGTATATGTCTACTATATAAATTTCTTCTCTTTCCGGGGAGGGGGGGGGGGGGCGGGCACTAGTAAAAGTATATATCTACTATATAAATTCCTTCTCGTTCGGGGGCAGTGTTTCTTCCAGACTTTTTTCTCCGGGGGGGGGGGGGGGCGGACACTAGTAAAAGTATATGTCTACTATATAAATTTCTTCTCTTTCCGGGGAGGGGGGGGGGCGGGCACTAGTAAAAGTATATATCTACTATATAAATTCCTTCTCGTTCGGGGGCAGTGTTTCTTCCAGACTTTTTTCTCCGGGGGGGGGGGGGGCACTTGAAATTTTCGGGGGGGGGGGGGCGGTAGACTTTCTTCGGGGGGGGCGGACACTGTTAAAAGTATATATTTTCTATATAGATTATATACATTTCATTTCGTTCGGGGGGGCGGTAAAATTTTTTCGGGGGGGGGGGGGGGCTAAGCCCCCCCGAAGAGATGCCTGGAAGAAACTCTGTTCGGGGGGGGGGGGTGCGATAGACTTTCTTTTCCGAAGAGATGCCTGGAAGAAACTGCCGTAAAGGCAACAGCACACAAATAACACATCAACTACACCATTCAAATAGATCTGTCCTCTTGAAAATTCGGCCGATAAGCCTCAAGAGTAAAGCACACGAGGTAGGTTAGGTTTGCCTGTCGTCCCTCCTGGGACGTAGGCCGCTGAAAGCACAAGAGTTGGGAAATCAAACAGTGACAATCTGGATAAATGTTTTTTGTATGCGTGCGTGCGTGTGTGTGGTCAGCACTTAGCCAAGCCGCCTTTTACTTTCCTTAACGTACCACAACTATAGACAGAGATCCGAACTCGTGACTTTCGAGTCAGCAGGTGAACGCTCTGCCATCACACCACGCCCAATAATTTAGATAATTAGACAAATATTTAACATTTTTATTAGCACTGCTGAAATTGCAGTTGTTTCTTTACAGCCAAACTTGGAAATACATGGAAACAATATTTAGATTTACGAAAAAGTTAATTGGTTACTATTTTTGGATTGTCAAACATTAATGTGGAAACTATGCCTGCATCTACCCTAGCTTAACTAGGAAACTATGGCTGCAGCTACAGCAGCTAAACTAGTAAAGTATGTCTGCACATACACCAGCTTAACTAGGAAACTATGGCTGCAGCTAAACCAGCTTAACTAGGAAACTATGGCTGCAGCTATACCAGCTAAACTAGTAAAGTATGTCTGCACATACACAAGCTAAACTAGGAAACTATTGGTGCAGCTATACCAACTAAACTAGGAAACTATGGCTGCAGCTTTACCAGCTAAACTATGAAACTATGGCTGTATCCTCACCAGCTAAACTAGAAAACTATGGCTACAGCTACACCAGCTAAACTAATCTGTCTGGTCATATTATGGGTGCTAACAGTTGAAGCGTTAGGGAGGTCAAAGGTCAGACAAACATGTCAGTATACATTCAGAGACACTCTGGTGACGTGTATTAATTAATTTTATTGGGGGTGTGGTGGGGAGGGGTGGGGCGATATTTTTGGAAGTCACGTGATGTACTTTTGTAAATGATCAAATCAGAAGGCATTTTGGTGTCAGGCGTAGACGATCAGTATTTGAACTGTATTGATGGTCAGTATTTGAACTGTATTGATGCTCAGTATTTGAACTGTGTTGATGCTCAGTATTTGAACTGTATTGATGCTCAGTATTTGAACTGTGTTGATGCTCAGTATTTGAACTGTATTGATGCTCAGTATTTGAACTGTGTTGATGCTCAGTATTTGAACTGTATTGATGCTCAGTATTTGAACTGTATTGATGCTCAGTATTTGCTTTGTACTGCACTATGAGTAAAATGTAGATGGCCAAGTTTTGCCTTATATTATTAATAGATAATATTTTTGTGTTTGCTTTCAATTGATTGCAATGAGACAAGGATACTAGTATTTGGTTAGTATATTCGAAAAGATAAAAAAAAATCTTTTATTTTATGTTACAGCAAATTTTCGGACAATTTTTTTTTCTCTCCAAATTTAGCCGGGTACTCATTTGAGCTAGATAGTCTCAAAGTTGACGAAACTTTAAATAATAGATAGCCAGTGTTTGAAATTTTGACACAGTGATCGCATATCAACAGCAATAAGCTGGTTGAACATAGACGGTTTACATAACACGCTTTTGCTCTACCACTGGGCCACATGTCCTCTTGAGTTCTGTTGAGTCTAAAAACATGGTAAAAAGATCATGGAGGGAACTGGTAACTTTAGAGCAGGGGTCTCCAAACTACGGCCCGCGAGGTCCTCTCATCCGGCCCGCGGAGATCTTTTTGTCCAAGGAAAAATCGTTTGTTGCTGATGGCTGAGGAACCTTGCCCAGAAAAAGCAAAGACATGTCTGGAAGAAACTGGCCCTCGAACTGAAAATGTATGGTTAATGCGGCCCTCAGACTGAAAAGTTTGGAGACCCCTGCTTTAGAGCATAGCCGTCGACTGTAGGTGTTCTTATGTTGAGGCTAAAACACGGTAAAAAGACCACACGTTCAACTAGTTACGTCAGTATGCCACTGTCGACCTTGCGCGACAGTTGACCTTGAGTGACAGTCGACCTTGCGTGACAGTTGACCTTGCGTGACAGTTGACCTTGAGTGACAGGTGACCTTGATTGGCCGGTGA